GTTGCTGTACACCACGATGTCATCCAAATACACCACCACGAAGTGATCCAAGAACGGCTCGAATACTTGGTTCATCAAGGTGCAAAAAGTAGCAGGAGCGTTGGTTAGACCAAAAGGCATAACTAAGAACTCATATGAGCCATACCTCGTCACGCATGTCGTCTTCGCCTCGTCCCCCTCGGCTATCCTCACTTGAAAGTACCCCGAGCGAAGATCAAGCTTCGTGAACCACTTTGCTTCTCCAAGTTGTTCAAACAAGTCGCCAATATTGGGGATTGACCACTTGTTCTTCACCATGAGCTTGTTAATAGCTCGATAATCGATGCACATCCGCAACGAACCATCTTTCTTCTTCTGGACGGGTGCTCCATAGGGGGATTTCGATGATTGGATGAAGCCAGCATCCATCAACTCCTTGAGTTGCTTCCTCAATTCCTCCAACTTGGGAGGGGCCATGCGATAAGGTGCTCTTGCTGGTGGCGTCGCCCCTTGCTCAAGCTCAATCTTGTGATCGACTTCTCTTCTTGGCGGGAGCTTCTTTGGTAGCTCCTTTGGCATCATATCTACGAACTCCTCCAACACGCCCTCGATGAGAGGTATTGGCACCAACAAGCCTCCTTCTTCCTTCGCTCGCAATGTGACAAGGAACGTGGGTTTCATCCTCTTCATTCCTTTCACCAATTGCATGGCCGATAAAGCTCTCTTTTGCCCTTCTTCACGCAACATCTTCACCGCACAAAATTTATCTCCCTTGTCAAGGCAGAGTGTGTTGAAATTCATTGCCATCACCGCACCCTCCTTCTCCATGAAGTTGACGCCAAGAATGACCGGATGATCATCCATAGTGATGACGCTGAAGTCGGCAACACCTTCCCAACCTTCGATCTTCAATGTCACGTTCTTGGCAACACCATGGATGGGTATTGCCTCGGAGTTGACGGTCTTGAGCGATCCTGGCCTCTTCTCGTAAGCGATCCCCAAGCGCTCAGCCTCCTCCACTCGAAGGAAGTTGTCGGTCGCACCGGTGTCAACCAATGCTTTTGACTCTCCTCCCTCGAATTGGGTGATCACAAAGAATCTCCCCTTGCTAACTTCGTTGGCACCGGATTTCGCCGCGCCTAGCCTCCGCATGGAGCCTATCTTCCCTTCATCTTCCCTAGCATTCTCCTTGGTCTCCCCTTCTTGTTTCTCCAAGGCTGCTAGTTTGCTCCTCTTTGGGCAATCTCACACCTTATGTGGACCGTTGCAAAGGAAACAAGACATGGGTTTATCATGGTTACAACTTACCAGATCTTGCTCCCTTGCTCCAGCCTCCATGTTGGTACGAGTCTTTCCCTTATTTGGAGTGCTGCCGATGATCTCCTCCTCCTTTGCTCTTTGAGTTCTTCGACTTGTTCGGCCTCTCACTCTTCTTGTACTCCGTGAGAGCCTCTGCCGTTGCCAAGCAGTAGCAAGATCTTGCACTCCACGCCTCTAGAGCTCCAACTTTGCCCAAGGTTGCAATCCCAAAAGGAAGCCAAACAAAGCCTCCTTGTCTGGCAGATCGGGGATCTCGAGTAGCAATTCCGAGAACTCCTTGACATAGTCACGAATTCCGCCGGTGTGGGTGAGTCGTTGAAGCTTTGCACGAGCTTCCATTTCCACATTCTCCGGGTAGAACTGCCTCTTGATTTCCCTAAGGAAATCCTCCCATGTGTCAATCACACATTTTCCCCTTTCTATATCACCTTGCCTCCTCCTCCACCAAACCATGGCCATATCGACCAAGTAAAGGGAGGCGGTACGCACCATGACTTCGTTGTCATTAATGCCTAAAGCCTTGAAATACTGCTCAAGGCTTTAGAGGAAATTCTCTAATTCCCTCGCGTTCCTTGACCCGCCGAAGATATTCGGCCTTGGAACATCCAATCGTGGGGCAGATTGGGTCACGGCAGGTCCGTTAGCCATGACTCGTTTGACGAGATTGAGCTCTCCTCGAAGCTCGTCAAATTCTTCCCTTACTTCGTCTACCTGGCCTCGAACGGTCTCCCTCAAGGAGTCGATGGCGTTGGTGATGATGGTCACAAACTCGTCTCTGAAAGCTTCTAACCCCACCTCCAAGCCTGCCATTCGAGTGCCCATGCCTTGCATGTCGTCCTTCGAAGTCTGCACCTCTGTACTGACTTGATCGAATTTCAACTCCATGTCTTCGAACATGGTTGTATGCTTGGCAATCTTCGTCTCCACTCTTTTGAGCCTCTCTTCGATTGGCACCAAAGGCTCTCGAGTTGATCTATCACGATGTTTCTTGCTGTTTGGATCCTTCTTCTCCTCACGACCGCGTTGTTGCTCATTGTTGAGAACTTCGCTTTCGAATCCAGCCATCTCTTCGAGGTTCTTTCTCACTTGCTGAGCTACGACCTTGGCTCTGATACCACTTGTCACGGACCAACTCTTAGTCGTGCGGCACTTAGCAGTCAAGTCTCGTTAGAGCGCTAAGTCAGCCTTGCTCGTATCCACTCAAACTCACAAGTTGGGAGAAAACTCTAGAGATGGAAACTCTCAATTTCTGGCAGAATGAAAAATGAGGGAAAGGGCTGCTTATATAGGACCTAGAAGCCCCCCCCCCCCCCCCCCCCCCCAATACATGAACTTGCCCCATACATAATAAATAAGGTGCATGAATAAAGATAGATAATGGGGATGCATGTACATTGGTGCATGAATCGGAAGATGCATGCATGTACTTGCATCCTTCTAGAATGCTCTAGAATCTTCCGCGTAACAGTACTCAAAGTCGAATACTGAGTGCATTTATTGAGTGTTTTTTAGCTTGGTATTGGAAACGAGTATTAACTTATATATGCAAATAAGTATATCTGTGTGATTAAAAAAATTATCAAAATATTTATAAATATTCTCTAACATTTAGTAATCATGCCCACTGAGACCAAATATAACACCAAAAGCCATTATCTAAATGCCACATATGGCACCAAAATCATTGACCACTTCTAGAAGATGGACTTGGGCGCAGTAAGATCTGGACCTTCTTATTTAAGTGTGCCCAAAAAATCCAAATCTAAGAGTTGTGAATTAAAGACATTTTATTTTAACTAGTTTTCTTAATCGGCTCTTATCTTGTTCGTTCTAAATCGGATTTCAATTATTAATTTTTTTTTTTGTACATAGGGAACGAGTTCATTGTGATCTACAAAATGAGATCCATTTTCAATATTTTTTGAGGAAAGAAATTCCATACCTCTCGTTATAAACTCCACACCATATGGTATTTCCTTGTTTTTAAGTCGCTTTTGAAAATATTTGCACAGAAGGAACGAGTTGAGTTCATCATGATCTATTTGGATCTACAAATTTATGGGTGAAAAAACACAGGACCAAACAATACCACACTATACCATCCTGGTATAGGGGTGGTATCTTGTGATACGCTTTCATATCATATGGTATGCTCTTATTTTAATACCAATCAATACCACCAATGTATGGATTGGTAAAAAAATACTTCAAATTTTTTGTTCCAAAAATATATTAAATTAGATATAATTTTGAAAAGCACAATTAATCTGATTTATCTGTGCAAATTTTTTTTAATTTCAACTTAAAACGAGAGAGAAATCTTCTGTTTAAGATCAAAGGGGAAAGATTAAAGGTTTTCCATAAGAGTGAGGAGTGCTGATGTGGTGGATTCTGGTTGGGTTATGCATAGTTATTCACCGATAGGTTACTGATCGCTCCCAAGCGTAGTAGCTCGGCAACAATCAGCAACATTTAAAATTTAATGTAATTTGGTGATGTTTATGAGTTGAGTAATTGTTGTTGGGTCTTTTATTCTTGTCTGTTTCTCTTAATCAAATTTGAAAGTAGATTGTGTACTTGTTTTGGATTGACTTGATGTTGGATCGATATCTATGTTAAATAACTCTTTTATTCAATGATAACAACAAATATGATTATGGATTGATATCTTATGTTGGTTAGGTTACCAATAGATTATTTTTGTCTAACCTTAACGAATCACTTGTCCAAGAGTTATCCGATTAATCGACAAAATAATGGATAACCGACTAATATAAACGATGCGGTTAACGACAAACACAAATTATTTAATGATTAATCAATAACCGACTAAACGATTATGATTATAACCGAACCGACTAACGATCTAGTTTTCTTAATAGAACACTTGGCAAAATAATCAAAATGCATGATTCATTGTTTTCCTCAATTACAAGTTCCTTGAAAGATATTCAAAATACACAGGGGTAGGTAGAAATTTGAATCCAATCCAATTCATTCACTGAAAAATCCAACTTTGTAAATCCAATTTAATCGCTGGATTCATGAATATTTAAAAATTGTGAGTTTAGTACATGTATTTTAATATGTTACATTATGACACAAAAATTTTAATTTTTAAGGAAAAATATTATTCCAAAATTATATTTTGGTACCTAAAATATTTTATCATGCCATTTTAGTACTTAAAGTTTTCAAAATTGACATAATAATCCAATGTATAGATCTTACTTGAGTTCACATCCAATCCACCAACCTCTCCGCTAAAACATTTTTTGCACCATTCAAGCCTTAAATTTTTTGACAATGCCAGATTCCCTCAAAGATCATCCAAATACACCCTTCATTTTAGTAAATTATTAAACAATGAAACGCAAGAAACCAGCCCTTATTTCTCCGCCATTCAAGCTTTCCTCCAATTTTTTGACAATTCAAGATTAATCCTCAATGTCAATCCAACGGATTTCTCTCTTTTTTTCAGCACCAGTTGCATGAAATATAGCTAGGGGGTGTCAGTTCGGGCCGGGTTCGGTTACCCGAACCGAAATCCGAAAAAACCCGAAAATCCGAACCGAAAACCACTAAAACCGATCCCGAACCCGATAAGGACTTGCAGGTTCCGATTACCCGAAACCCGAAAATTCCTTATCGGGTTCGGTTAAAGCAAAACCGAAATCCGAAAACCAGAACGTCTAAGAATACGGGTTGAGTTCTATTCATTGGAGGTTTTTAGCTGGAACCCAAAAAACCGATAAGCAAAACCGAACCCGAAACCGAAAAACCCGAAACCTGAAACGAACCCGAACCCGAAAAACCGAAAATGTATATAATCAGGTCGGTTTTGGGTAAACCCGAAAAACCAAACCCGAATGGACACCCCTAGTTGTAGCAAATGATTGGCAATAACAAGTGAAGGGGATTAAAATTTCTAATCATTGGAGCCCAACAAAAGATTGTTGTGAGAAAAGAGTGTATCCTTCCCTCAACTTCAGATCACAGGCTCGCCAGCCATATATGGCTGCTGGCATGGCAGTTGTGTTTTGTTCATAAATAGCCATCCAAAAATAGTGGTTAAATAATGGTAGAACGAATGGGATCAAATCAAAGGATGATGGCGGACTTGGTCATGCTGTAAAAAGGCTTCTTCAAGCTTTCACATTCCTCGTGAAGTCAGTGCAAGTTTGGCAGCAACAATCAGAGAAGCGGCAGATTTCACAGCCAAAGCACACGCAGGAAGTGCATCCTTTGCATGTTGGAGAGCGGGAGCAGCCTCTGTACACCTTGCGACTTGCTCTCTCCTCGTCGTCATCACACGTTAGCCTGCCACGAAAACGAGCAATTCAGTAGAAGAAACTGAAACAAAAGGTCAACTAATTAAGGACCAAACTCCCATCCATGATCCAGCAGTCAGCCTAAGCCTTTTCATGAATCATGTGGCGAGTCTCAATCATAAATCATGCAAACATATACATGTAATGTTATTAGACTTTCATAGTTTTCTGGTTATGGTCTGATCATACAATCCATTATTGGAGAAAGAAGAAAATGAAACCATGCCATTAATTGTCGTCCAATTAGTTAATAGCTCCAAAGCTGTTGGCTTTCGTGGCTCTCGTCATGGTCTGATCATACAAAAATCTCCAACAAAGACTTAACCTTTCGGTAAAAATTATCCTTACCACTTCTATAGTCCACGACAACATTGAATGAGGAACCAAATTAAGAGAAACAATATCCTTAATCTGTCACATTTTTTCCTGGAACTCTCGTATCAAGCAACTGAAGTCATAATTTTCCATGCACAAGGAAAAATGGCAGAAGTCATAATATATGTATATTCACAGCATAGAATGTCTTAATTAATAAGTTGACAAGAGAAGGCAACTACCTATAAAACTGTAGAAAAGAATGGAAAAAGCATGCAATTAATCACAATTCTTTCAACAACCACCCAAAGGAAGAACATCACGAGACTCTGGCTTGCAAGAACAGAGTCAAGAATGCAGAAATCATAAGAGATTGGACTGTATAATTACGCAAATACAAATCTATATCTAATGGAACAACGCCAACATTTTGCATTCACCATAATGGAAAGAACAAAACAGCTACTATCAACTTAACAAGGAGAGAAAGCATACTTGTCAAACGGTAAGTCAGCACATTTCCAGCTAACATTGGCCACATAATCATGGTGAACTCGACACTCCTCTTTGGTCCTTAAGCGGAATCTGCGCTCCTTGTTGCACTTGCTGCAGCGAAGAAACTCATCGCGATGGAAAACCCGCCCATTTTGAGAGCGGTGGGATCCATTGGATGATTGGTTGTAGTACTTGAGCAACACTGTCTTCGACAATGGAACCTTCTCCCCATTCACAATCACCCACACATTATTCTTCCACTTCCTAGCAGTCTCCCTCCCAGAATGCTTCTCAAATGCAGCAGGACTCATCTTATCTACACAACCATTAACAGCACCCACCGATACATGAAAAAGGATCAGTTGTGTGGTAGAGAGATCATATGAAGTCCAGCTTAATGTTTTTTTTTTTTTTTGGACCAAGAAGTCCAGCTTAATGTTGATAAAGTTATAATCACATGCAGAAGAGAAAGCGTTTTCCTTAAACTTAGAGCAAGGATTAAGCACAAATACATGCACATGATATGAAGCTAAAAACTAGCAACTGCACCAACTAACATGTGCTAGAAATTGTCAAGGAAAACGTTAGCAGGGGATACAAGTAGGCCTTAGCTAGATGGTCGGCCTCCCAATAACACAAACTTTTTTCCGATTAAGCAACAAGATACTGTATACAGCTTAGACTTGGGCCTGCTCAGAAAAAGCAAATATGGATTGCCGTAGCCAGGTCCGGGCTTACTTTATGACCATAGTATATTCCATACAGCAGTACTTATCGGCCTTCTTAGTTTCCCACTGGAATACCAAAGCATATTCTTGTAGTATGGCATAAGAGCCTAAGCTTCTACCAAATGGACATCAGAGCCACGTACCAACTCTTGTAGCATGGCATAAGATAACCTTCTAGTCGCAACAGTATTCTCAAACTAAAGTCGCCTCCCCTATATCAGACGTGGAACCCTCAAAACATATTTGATATTTACAAAGAGAATTAGAAGGTAGGCGCCGTTGGCATGACTTTTGCACTGTTTCAAAAAGAGGAAAGTACACAACACTTTTGACGAAGAAACATGGAGATGATGGCTTCGTCAGAAAGAAGCCAACCCACCCATGATCCAATAATGACTGATGACCCAACGATCGTTCAAGAAAGCATAACGGGGGGAGAAAAGTGTTCACTAAAATGCCTCATCGGAATATAGTGATGCAGGTATAGCACGAAAGTTTGATCCTAAACTCCTTGTGCTTCTATCAAAATAAAATAAAAAGAATATCCTCGAGCTGAAGCACGATCTAAAAGAAAGGTTAGGAAGGGGAAGAGGAAAAACATAAGGTTGACAGATTTAGGACACGAGGATCTTACTCTGCCTACAGAGCAACGGCAAAACTCGGTAACCAAAAAGCTAAAATCTTCAACACTCATTCAGTAGGATGAAAAGAGTGAACAGTAACAACAATGTAGGTTGGCAAACACCTTACTGGTGGGGTTTACCAAGGCGCAAGTTGGTTCAGTGAGGCAATACAGCGAACACTTGGCCGGTATAAGGTAAAAAACAAACACAAGTTCACTCCGGGATGATACTCAGGGTAGAGATATCAATGCCGTTCGATTAAAACGATGGGGGAGAAAACGACACCAGATGACACATTCAACATGCATGAAATTTTAAACCCAGATATCAAAAGGAAGGAAGAAGACAAATAGGAAAAAGGGGAGATAGAAAGAGGAAAAGAAAGAAAGAAAGAAAGAAAGGGAGAGAAACCTTCATCGCAACCAGGGGTACATTCACAGGAGATTTCGAGGTCGCCATTGGGAAAAACCCTAAGCCTTCCCACCGCATCGCCATATCTATGGCTGGTACAACCACACGTGACTTCTATGCAATCACCGGTTTGCTTTACCCCACTCATCTCCCTCAGTTCTTCCTCACTGAACAACACCACTGTCTCACACTTCCTCCCCTCATCAACCGCACCACCGTTCGCCATTTGATCTATCTTTCGAACCCTTCGCCTCCAACCTCCAGAACGAAAAAAGGACCAAAACCCAGAAACGATAAGGGGATTATCGAGACGAGATCAAGTGAAAGACGCGATTTTGGAGTGTGGGTATGGCATGGAATCCAAAACCAGACAGACAAACCCAGACAGGCGAGGAAGGGGGGAAAACGAAGGAAAAGACAAAATTAACCGAAGGGTATTATTAGAAAAAGAAGAGAGAAGTGAAGAGGGAATAAAATAGAAAAGAAAGGGGAGGAGAAGAAGAGGGGCCTGGGGCTGTGGCCGTCTGGTGTCAGGAGAGAGGGCCGGGGATATCTCTTTACCAGCTTTCCTTCCTTCTTCCTCTTCCTTGCTGGCCTAGAGATCTGGTGGAGAAATCCTGGCAGGCAAGCTGATACTCGAAAGGATTTATTAGAAACTGGTAGTAGAGTGTAGAGACTAGAGAGAGTGGGTTGGTGGGTATTTAGGTGATGTGAAGGAGAGCAAATAGAGAGAGAGGAAATGAGCTGGCTAAGGAAGAAAGTTGGAGGAAGGGAAGGAAGCAAAATACAAGCGATTGCGAATGCTGTGGCGAGAGAGAAGGGACGAGAAGAGAGAAATCGCCTCTTTTTATGCCCATAAACTCAACTCTCTACACATTGGCTGGCTGCATGATATGACACGAGCCAGCGGGTGGTGATGGAAAAGAGAGCGAGTGAGAGAGTGAAAGGCAAGTTGCAAGCTTTTATAATGTTTGTTTCCCCGTGAGCCAGAGCAGCTGAAGAGTGACGAGAGGCTCTTTTAATACAAATATATATATAGTTTAGTTAGCGTATGTAAGTCGTACATTGTACGCGCGTCGAGTTTTATTATTTAGAGCACGAAATAACTGAAATTTGGGACATAATACTATACCCTTACCTCTAATAGATGAACCACAGTCTTTAATTATCTAACCCAAGTCACAAGATTCATTTAATTAAAAAATAATAACCGACGGTTCTGATTCAGCGAAATATATTAAAGTGCAAAAACCAAGTGTGAACGCAAGCGTATGCTAGCCTTTGCCATGTATATATATATATATGGTGGCTACTTCGGCGCACTCACTTTTTTGGGTGTACTCAGTGCACCCAACTCTAAAAGTGTCCATAATACATCAAATTTTGAACTTGAATTAGTACTCTCGATCTAATATGATGATATGACATAGAATCATAACAAATAAATCTATTACCCTAACCCATTAACCTTCAATTTTGAATCCCAACCCAAAATCCCAAATTGTAAACCTAAACCCTAACCCTAAATCCCTAAATCCTAAATCCTTTGAATTTAAGTAAATTTTGAATGATTTTTTTCCAAATTCATGTGCTTCTTGTTCATAATATCATAAGCAACAATTGATACTGTTTTGACATGAATCGCATGCTCAGAATGATAATTATGAGGCGGGTGCACTGAGTACACCCAAAAAAGTGGGTGCACCGAATACGCCACCGTGTATATATATATATATATATATATACCCATATACAATAAGGCTAATACCAATACAACACCCGAACTATTACAAAAATGTCATTTATGTCCTATTTTATTCAATATTTCATTTGTGTCCCGAACTATTTTCCGTTAGTGTTTAAATGATTGATTGTTAGTATTTAACAGATTGCCAAGTCATCGCTGATGTGTCTGTCAACATGGCTTTTGGGTACATATTTTTTATTAATTAAAATTTGAAAATAAAAATTAAAAAAGGAAGGGAAAATCCCTTTGGTTTCCCATCTATCTCTTATCTCTCTCTCGTCTCAAGTCCTTTATCAGTTTATACTCATCGGGAAGCTCCTTTCCCTCTCTGTCGCCGAATACGAAGAAGTTGTTGCGGGAATACGAATGAGCGGCGTTCTGGTGTAGTCGGAAAGTAGCAAATCCAAGGAGGATCTTTACAGAAGAAGTACAAATCAGCGATCGATTGACTCTCAAACCGCCATCAATCGCGAACTAACACCGCCGGCAACAATACTAGATCCGCCAAATATGATGACTCCAACTCCACCGCCTTCACCTTCACCTCCAAAGTCTCCGAATCCAAGCTCTCTATCGAGTCTCTCCGACTATCTAAAGGAGCACCAAACCATAATTGTATATACATGATTTCTTCGAGATCCCGAGCTCGAGAAGCGACTCAGGAGCTAGGTACCACTAATCCCTCGTATATTCGTGATTTTTCTGCTCTCGTTTCGCCGCATCAACTTGGAGATCCCAAAATCGGTGATTATCTCATCTTTTAACAGATTGCTGCTGCTTCTCCAAAATCGCAGTACCTCAAAACGGATCGAGAGGCGAAGAGTAGCTCCACAAGGAGTTTCCTTCCAGGTGATTGTTTTGGTTGGCTCGTGATAAGGTTCAGAGAAAAAAGTGGATCGTGATCTTGGGAGGATGGGGGTTTATTGGAAATTATAAAAATGATTGGGGTGGGGTAATAGACCGTTATTTGCACATGTTTTAAGCCACCATTATTGTAAGGTTTGAGAGTCGATTCTCGTGTTTTAAACCGATTTCACGATGGGTTGTGCGTTTATGTCATATTTCACGTCTTGGCGCGGAAAGGGAGGCTTGGAGGCGAGTTTCGTGTCGAAATTGGAGAGTTGGCGGCAAGGAGGAGATGACACGCAAAATACTCGGCTAGGGCACTATAATACTCGATCGGGTATTGGTGATTTGGAGGCCGGAGAAGCAAAAGGGGACCCAACTGAGAGCCCAAAATACCCAATCGGGTATTTCCCCTTTGGCCTGTCCGCAGCGTTTCGAAATACCCAGCCAGTCCTTCTAATGCCCGACTGGGTATTTGGGCCGAGTTTCGGGATCTGCTGCTGTTTCAAACAAAGTTTGGGCTCATTGGCAGGGGGATCCGAGTTTTAGAGAAAAGAAGCAAAAGCCTAGAGAGAGAAAGTGACGGAAAAAAACCTCCAAGTGACCTAGATTGAAATTCAACGTAATTGGAACTCGATTGAAGTTTGGAGAAGTGTCGATTGATTACCAGAAGCCGATTTTCATCCTGAACAGTATGATTTCTGCATCAGAAGCTGATTTCTCTTCTCTCTCTATAGAGTAAACTCTCTCTCTCTCTCACCTAGGTATGAAGAACCCTAGATTTGTATGTTAGGTTTGGTTGTATGAACCCAAGTACATGTTCTTTTTACATCGATTATATTCAATTGATGCATGATTTTCTGAATTGCATGAATCCTAATCAAATTCCTGTAGTTCCTGCTTTGACCAAGAAACAAATATATACCTAGGTTGATAGAGCACCCTTAATTGAAGGTGGTGAATTGATTACTTTAGTCGAGGAATCAATTCACTACTCTGTACAGGATTTACTCCAGTAGAGGAGGTTTTGCACGTTAGGGCCTCGGTTTATTTACTCCGGTGGAGGTTAGTCGCCCGCCGGGTGTTCAGATTGAGAGGGTCTGGAGACCTTTAGTCGAGGCTTCAGACTGAATAAAAACCTTCCGCAGTATAACTATCATTAAATATGGACTTGGAGAATTATAACCTGACTAACTGCAATCTAGGGCGAACCATATATGGGTGACCTCTCTCAAACTTGAACCACAACCATTACAGCTTTGTGTTTGTTTAGATTAGTTAATACTTCACTATAGTTAAATTGCTAAATAATAAGAACTTCACTCATCTAGGACCCGGGTTACCAATTAAAGCTAAACCCAATATACTATGCATTAGTAGGTGGTTACACTTGGCCACTTTCTAGTGTGACGGTACAGGCGAGTTAAATTTTTTGCGTCGTTGTCAGGGACGGCTAGGTTGTTGAAGAAACGTGATTTCTGTTACTATAGCATTTCTTTACCGCATCGATTGTTTTGCTTTTTCCCACTTTTGCCTTCATGGGTTTGCTTGTTTGGCTGTGTGTAGGTAGTGCATGACCCGTAGCCAGTCGGGAGCATTACTACTGTTAGATACGAAGCTAGAACGCCCTTGTCGCCAACTTAGGCGAGTGCAGTGAGCGAGACTAGCTACGACAGACGAGCAGACTGACAGACGAATTAGCAGTGACTCCGAGCAGGAAGACGACATGGGCGACGAGAACAACCAAATGAATAACATGAATTCGGAACAGCCCCCTGGGGATGCCACTCCACGCTCTTCCGGTGAATCAAGTCCCACCTAATGGCGGTATTCCACAGGCAGACGCTGCCAAACCGTAGTTTCCTCCCCAGGGGCCCACTGTGTAGTATTTCTACACTCCACGGATCTCTCACATCCACCCCGTCCATCCCTGCCAACAACTTCGAGATCAAGCCATGCTGGATCCATTTGATTACATCCTCCATCCATTTCCATGGGCTCAAGGATGAAGAGGCGAGGGTGCATCTTTCTCGATTCTTGCAGATGACCAATGGGTCCAAGCTGAACGGCGTCCCAAATGACGCGATCCCTCTTCACCTCTTCTCTCACTCCCTAGCGGGTACTGCGAAGAGGTGGCTAGAGACTCAGCCGCCATTGTCTATCACTTCTTGGGCCGATCTGGTCGACAAGTTTGTGTACCGATACTCTCTTGCCTCGAAGACTGCGGCAATTCAGCGGGAGATCACTCATTTCCGCCAGAAAGATGATGAGTCACTACAAGATGCTTGGGAACGGTATTCTGGACTATTCTGGAAGTGCCCCCACCACGGATTCAGTGAAGCATTCACCGTGGGTAACTTCTACAGTGCCTTGTTTCCGGAGAGTCAGAAACTGATTGAGTCTTTATGTATGGGTGGAGACATTCTCACTAAGACTCCACCCGAGCTGAACCAGATGATAAGTACTTTGGCCGCCAGAGATCTTTCTTGGGGGCAGATCACCAGAGGTAGGAGCTCTCGAGACAGAGGTGTGCATGCCATGGAGGCCAGATCAAGGCTTGAGCGCGAGGTGGCAAAGCTGGTTCAGATAATGAAGCAGCCTAACAGCCTCATACCAGACAGAGGCATGGCCGCACCTCCTGTAGCAGAGTGCCAGTGGTGCGAGAGTTCGAACCACTTGGTGGAGGATTGTCAGGCTATACGGGAGGCCTCCACACCCTACGAGCAGTTGGACTTTATAGCTAATGCTTGGCGCATTGACCATACAGTGGTATCTACAATGAGGTGTGGTGCCAACATCCCAATTTCTCCTAGAGTGGCAGCAACAGCACCACCACCAAGCCTCCCGGTTTCACAACACTAGCTGGTGGTTTTAGCAGAGGTAGTAGTACCAGAACCGGCAAAGTTCATTTCCTCAGCAACAGCCATTTCAGCCCAAACAGGGGCAAACTTTCCAACAACAGCAGAGGCAATTCGCCCAGTCGGCAGCAGCCCCAGCACAGGGTGACCAGATGTCAGAGTTGAAAAATATGGTGACGGCTTCGTGAGCACCAGTACAGAGAAGTTCGCCAGGACGGACCAGTTCATGGAATTCTCTAAGGGGGAATTCAATGCACTAGAGGCAAGCCATAGAAACCAGAGTGCTATTTTGCAGAACCACTAGAACCAGATTGAAGGAATAGCTCAGAATTACAGCACCAGGGCACTGGGAACTCTACCTGCCAACCCCATCTCAAATCCTCGAGAGCCTCACTAGCAGTTAGATGCCATTACTACTAGAAGTGGCAAGACGACGTCTGTTGTACCTGCTCCGGTCAGGGAGGAGGAACTAACACCTTCTCCAGCA